AAAGCAAATTGCGAAGAGCGAATCATCAGCTAATGCTACACTAGATAAGAATGGAAGTTGAAGATAAGGGTAAAGGCGATAGAGAAAGTCAAAGAAGAAGATATATATTCATAGATGAAACTTTTGGATTGAGACTAAAACCTGCTGAAGTTAGACATTGATTACATGAAATTCCACCATGGCGACTTAGTCATCACCAATGATCATTAAATTACAAACACTGATGCATCATGGGAATTTCATACACATTCTGTCCACCAGGCAATACAATACTAAATGCATTTGAGACGTTCACTATGAAAGCTACACAAGCCAAACACAATGTTGTTGCATCAGGCAATTGATCTTGTGACCCATACACTTGTAGGAGTGATTAAATCTGTTGCCTGTCCATCCAAATGCACAGTTGAAAAGATCCTGAATCAATTACTGAAAGGTGATTTTGTCAATCTTCGCATAACAAGAGGAAGGCAGATCATTTCTCGTCAATATGTCAAAGTTCATTTTCTTGCTTGAAAGTTAATAGCTAAATAGTTTGAATGTTTAAACTCGTCTTGTCTTTCAGTGATGTACAAAACACAGAAATTTTGAAGAAAATATTGTAAGCATTGTAGCAGACGTCAGTGAACAACGGCTATGAAAGCGGATGAGAAGACGCATTGACAAATCTTGGACAGAGGTCTAGCAGGTTGAAAGAGCCTCACAACACCACCAACGGTCAAGTAATATTTTGGATTGGATAAAAAAAATCAAAAAAGCAATGTGGCAGTTCCATTGTAATGCAATGATTTTTTTCTTGAGATAATGATAGAACAGACAGACATACATACATACACAGTAACCACAAAGACTCCTATTGTGTGCTTCATGCACAGGAGTAAAAAGTAGTGCATTTTTAACAAACATGTATCAAACATTGGCCCAGTGTCATTCTATACAGAAGGAGTTATGTAACAAACCCACACTGCGATAAAATATGAATCTAGATGGGGCAGCAGAAAACCTGAACCTCGGTCACAAAAGTGGCAGTTAATGTACTTGTAGGTTACCATAACAACCAATTATCTGCTGATCACTTTTCTTGCATGGTCAAGTATACAATCAACGCAAACCTGTAAACATGATCTAGTTTTGAAAATAATTTGTACTACAACATGGTATATTGTACACAGCAGAAGCTCAAAACAAAGTTTCATCATCGACTTTGAGCTCTAACAGAAGCATCTAAGATCAAATCAGATTTGTATTAAAACAAGACACCTTGTTCTTGGCACATGTATATTTGTTACAATAAGGAAAACAATCTAAAAGTGCAGCAAATGTTGTGAGACGTAGTAGTCACATCTGTTTATTAAAAAAAAATTCAAATGTGTGAAAAGCTTTGAATAAATAAACATTGTGTCCAAAATGAGCCCTGAGCAAAAATATTTCAGTTAATCTAATATTTTTCAGTCAGCTGCTTTGGTTGAAATACAGACCCCCTAGTGCTAGTAATATCTATTCAGATTTATGCAAATTTATGCACACAGTTTTGGATGTCATAGTAATACATGTGACATTCCTTTAACTATATACCTAGGTAACTACTGTAAAATGACTAATTTTCACTGGGTTTAAATTTCAGGCATATTCATTGGGTTTTAAATTCACGGTTTCGTCATTTAGATAATGTGTTCTATGCTAAATTTTACATATTCACTGGGTTTTAATTTAGCGCATTTTCCTGTCAGCGAAATAAGCTAAATTAAAACCCAGTGAATAATTAATCCTTTTACAGTATAACTATATACCTAGTACAATGCTAGTAATATCTCATTGCTTATTCAGATTTATGCAAACATCACACACTATGGGATATCATAGACATCTATGTGAAATTCCTCTCACTATATACCTAGGTACAATGCTAATGATATCTACCGGTATTCAGATTTATGCAAATGTCACACCCAGTATGGGATGCCATGAGTGAGAACTAATACTAAACCATTCCTTCAAAGTTACATGTCTGGTTAATCATCAACATCATTAGGATT